AATATCAATCTCTTCCAGTCAGTTGGCCAAGTGGTTGTTCTCCAGATTTCTTGGCACAACTTGGTGAGCACATCCAGGGCAGCATCTGTTAGCTGAAATAAGTCAGCTGGTATACCATCTATTCCTGGGGCCTTATTTTTTGCTATTCAAAGCAGCTTGAACTTCTTTATCACCATAGGCTCTTGCTCAAATATTATTTCATTAAATCCTTCTGTATCTGCCAATTTCTTTCAATACATTGACTCAGTATATTCCTTCCATCTTCTTTTAATACTTCCTGGATCATTTAATATTCTGCCGAAAGCATCCTTGATTAGAGCAACTCGAGGTTTGAATTTGTTCTTCAGTTCCTTGAGCTTAAGAAATGCTGAATGAGTTCGGCCCTTTTGATTTTCCGACTCTAGCTCCTTGCACATTTCAAAATCAATAGTAGTTTAGCTTAACTTGTAAACAGATATGCTTTGAACATTATGCTCTTTTAAGAACATGAAATGAGCCACCTGGAAGATGAGAATCTTACGGGCAGTGAGTTTGAGTTAACGTTGTTATGTACTGTTGAGTCGGAACTGGTGTTTACTATTCAGAACAAAGAGGAGCCTTGGTGCCGCATTGCCTAAGCACTCAGCTGCTCACTCAGTGGCCAGCAGGTTGAACCTACAAAGGTTGTTGTTGTGTACTGTCAGGTTGTAACCAACTCATAGCCAAACTTCCAGTTGGTTTTCACCTGTCTTTCTCCCATGGAGCAGATGGTGAATTTGAACTCTGCTTTTGGGGTGACAGCGTGATTCCTTATCACTTTAGCCATCAGATCTCCCTTGTAAAAGTCACACATTTGGAAAGAAACTCTGTGAGGCAGTTCTGTGCCTTCTTAGAGGGTTGCTCTGTGTTGGAATAGATCAGATGGTAGTGGGGTTTTGTGTTCAGAATACATGAAACCTTGGTGGTACAGTGTTTAAGCGCTAGATTGGTAACCAATCAGCTAGTGGTTTGTGCTGACTCAGTGGCTGTGTAAGAACCTGGGGATCTGCTTCCTGGGCAGGTCTCCTGTGTCACACAGAGCCACCATGAGTTAAAAATTGCTTTGATGGCTCTCAACTTTGATGGCAAATCCAGAATACATAAAAAAAAACCAAACCCCAAACCTCAGGAAGATGACAAATAAGTATATTTTCATGTTTTCTGGTAACATGTACTCTTGGGGGGGAAAAAATCCTTTCCAAAACCATGAGCGGCCACTGCTGTTGTCAGGTGCCAGCAAGCCAGCCATGCCTCAGGCTGGCTCTGTGAGCAGAGCCCAGCTTTGCCCCATCTTGTCCCATCGCCATGTGTCTGTCAGGCCCAAGCCAATGGTGGTCACTTTGTCAGTCCGCTTGTTGAGGGTCTTCCTCTCTCTGACCTTCCACCTTTCCCAGCACGTCTCCCTCTGAGAATTGTCTCCTCTGGAGAATGTGCCTCATGTAAAGGAGACCAGTGCCTCTCAGGAGCACTCTGGGTGCACCTGCTTCTAGACGAATGCGTTTGTTCTTTTCGACAGCCATGGGGCGTTCGGTGCTCTTCTCCAGCAACAGCTCCAAGGCATTGTTTCTTCTTCAGTGTTCTTTTTTTTTTTTAATTTAAAATTTTATTATTATTATTAATTTCAGTGAACATCTACAAAGATTTTGGAATTCCATTCATTAAGTGTTCTTTAGTCATTGTCCAACTTTCAGATAAAAGAAAAGTGTTGACAAGGATCTGGGGGAATTGGAGTCCTTATTCACTGTGGGAATGTAAAATGCTGCAGTCGCTTTAGAAAATTGGTAGTTCTGCAGAAAATTAAACATAGAATTTTACATATAATTTAGTCATTGAACTTGTAGGTGCGCGCGCGCGCGCACACACACACACACACACACACGAAAACGTATATCCACACAAAATCTTATACCTGAATGCTTACAACAGTATTATTCATAATAACCTAGGAAACAACTCAGATGAATATCTATCAGTTGATGAATGCATAAACCCTAAATATGGGACACCCTACAATATAGTATTAATCAGCCATAAAAAAAAGAAATACTGATATATGTTTTAACATGAATTAATCTTGAAAACATTATGTTAGTAAAAGAATTCATATACAAAGGCCATATATTATATGATTTTATTAAAATGTCCAGAATATGCAAATCAACAAACACAGATAAGTGGTTGTTAAGGGCTGAAGGGAAGGGACAATGAGTAACTGCTGAGGAGTAAGTCGTGTTTTTTTGAGGAGGATGACACATATTCTGGCATTAGAGAGTGGTGATATTTGTATCTATGGATATTTTTATAAAACCACCTTGAAAAAAGAAATTTTATTTATTCTGCTTCTTCCCAGCATGTTCTTGCCAATGCTGAACAATGCTTTGCAGCTCTTGGTGAGAAGTAAAGACTGTTTCTGTGGCCATGACTATATCTGGGGGTCTGGAAGCACATGTTTACATATGACCATATTACAGATTTTTTTTCTGATTTAAAAACTACTTCCTTTCCATAACAGTTGTTCTCAGACTTCTGACCGTTTATGATCCTTTTATTACTAATGGGAGAAGGATGGGCACTCTCTTCTCATGCACTTTACAACCTCTGAAAACCCACTGAGGGTCAGCTATGAGGTGGTTCTGCTTTGATAACAGTGAGTTTTGTGTTTTATTGCCAAGGTGCCTGGTAGCACAGTTGATAACATGTTGTGTTTCCAACTGAAAAGTCAGCAGCTCACAGTCATCCGTTTCTCCAGGTAGAAAGAAGAGTGGACTTAGAGCCTTGGAAACCTGGACGGAGGGTGGAGGGTTACAATGACTAGATGGCAGTAGTTCTCTATTGCTCCATCCCTTAATGTTGTTTCTGTGGTGTTTGTGTTCTGTCCACAGGGCCGACGGGGAAGTGAAGCACTGTGTCATCTACAGCACTGCGCGAGGCTATGGCTTCGCCGAGCCCTACAACCTGTACAGCTCCCTGAAGGAGCTGGTGCTCCACTATCAGCAGACATCCCTTGTTCAGCACAACGACTCCCTCAACGTTAGGCTTGCCTACCCTGTCCACGCACAGATGCCCGCGCTCTGCAGATAAAGAGGGGAGGGACGAGGGGGCTCTCGAACGTTCTTTTCTACGGTTTTTAATTAGACTATGAGGGCATTCTTTCTATGTAGACTGCTTGTTTTGCACAAGAAGTGATTATGTGAATGTGAAGTGGAGACCGAGCGGCAGCCGGCCAGGGTAGGGGAAGAAGGGATGCAGTTCCTGGGACGCAGCCGTGTCTCTGCACTGACATGCTAAGCTGGAAGCAGATGTTGGTGTTTGGAGTTTCTTTCATTGGAATTTTGTTATGTTTAGCCAGGTGCCCTCAGCAAACACCTGAGGCTTGGGTGGGGGTTCCTGGGACTCGCTGAAGAGTCTTCTTTTGGTCTTTGAGAGTGCAGCGGGCCATGTTTCTGCTGGGAGGTCTGTCTTCATCTGGCAGTCTTTTATGGTGTGTGTGACGTTCCTCCGAGCCCCTCAGAAGAGGCTGTTTTGGTTCTCACATAGCATGGTGAGTGAGAATACTACCAAAGGAAGATGGGAGGCTCCAGGTTTCATGGCAAGAATATAAGCTCAGAGGGGAGAACCTTCAGCAGAAGGTACTTTATTTCTTTCCCACATACTTTTAGGCTTCAGCAGCCCTAGGTTCCCCTCCTAAGGAAGCATTATGTTTAGAAACCAAATTGATCCCACCAAAACAATGTTTGTTGCTGGACTAAGGCTTGATGGGAGAAGGCAGCAATAATACCTGAATGCACTCTTCTATACCAAAACTTGAAAAGGAAAACTAGAATGTATGAGTTTTTGCAAACACTATAATTGGTCAGTGTAACTCTCCCTGCCCTGCACCTGTACCTTTGAGATGAGGAATAGTGTTTCTGTGGAGGTGGTGAGCTTTGAATCATAAAATGAAGCTGGTGCTTTTGTGGTGTTATCTTAGCCTAAAGGATGATCTGTTGTTTGACACATTTGTAACTTGTTTGTATGAGTAAAGAAAAAGTGCAATCCAGTGCTTTTAGATGACTTGAATATACCAAATAATGATATAGAACAACATTTTTCTATGTGCTTCCCCAAGTTTAAAGGCCCTGAAGAAACCTTAACATGGTTTCATTTCTCTTTATCGCCTCCTTTGCTGGGTAGGGCTTAGAGAACCATAGATGGCTAAGGCTGGAGCAGGAAAGGGGGCCAGTCTGTAGTCCCAGGCCCGGGAGCTGCAGACCAGAGCGAGATCTCCCAGCAGGGGCACAAGACCCATGTGCTTCCACTCAGTGGTTTCTGAAGCTTTTGCAAGAAGGAGAGAGGGTGGCTTGGAGTTCAAAAGCCATAGTAGAGAAGCTTTTCTCTTTGCTTTATGACCCTGCCATTAAGACAGTGTGCAGTCTTCTCTCATGCTCCACTCGCCCTGATTTTTAAGCCAGGACACTCTGGCCCGTGTGGGTTAAGCCTCAGCTAAGTGAAGGTAGGCGATTGGAGTTGAGGACAGCCTCTCCTCTGGTCTGCGTTATGTTCCACCCCCTTTTGTCAACACTCATTTGACAAGTAGAGACCATCTGTCTCTGAGCCAGTCCTGGAACTATAACAGGTTCAGGGTAAGTCAGCTGTCTGAACCCAAAGCTGTAAAGTCAAGCATTGTGCTTGAGCTAGAGAAGCCAGTGCCTGAATCTTGACATAGAAGGCGTACAGCTTGGGGAGCCCAAATGGGGGTGAAAGAAAAAGAAGGATGCCTCTCACTGCCCACTTACCTAGGTGGTGAGGCTGCACTAGGCCATGGTGTATTAGTAGAAAAACCTCCAGAGTTATTAATGATAAGGTTGGGAAGAAAAGAGCATCTTTGGGTTTTCTTTGGTTAAGTTATATTTTCAGGATCAGATTAAGAGACAGAAGTGAACCACCCCTCAGTGTTACTGTTCTGACTTAAGTCCTTAACTGATAGCCAGCTTACTCTCACCCTTTCCCAAAAATTGTCAGATTGAAATTTCCTGAAAGTTACTGGGGAATTGTTTGGTTAACTGCTCTTGGGCACATCTGGTTGGTCTTGTTAAACCTGCATAAGCAGTTGGATGTTCAAAATTGGATACAAAGAATCTTCTTGTATTACTAAAAATGTCAGCATGTCCTGAATGTGTTTTAAAGAAACCAAAATAGGAATAAGGATACCTATTAATAAGATTGGAAGTCGCCTACACCTTATCAGGTGGACATTGGAGAGGGTGGCTGGAGGGCAAGCACCATCTTATTTGCCCGTTGGCTGGTGTATGGAGAAGGGCTGCTTATATTTCTTGTACTACATTCCTTTCTTTTTTAAAATAGTGGTTTCATTTTCTTAGTTCATTGCTTTGTAGGATAAAAGACCCAGGGATCATTTGAGAAGTTGATCAGTTGCTACATGATTTGCTCAGAGGCCAGGTAACCACTGGGCCATGTGCATGTGTGTGTGTTTGTGGGGTGGGGGAAGGTGCATATGTAGCAACTTTGTTCCATGATCTAAACTCTGGGAATATTTCTCTTAACATCTTAACCACAGCCCCACTGAGGCAGAAGGTAAGAGAAGAGACTAAAACCACATCCCATGTGGAGGTAGATTTTTGAGCTGAAAGGTACTCAAATTGTTTCCTTGGCTAAAGAAGCCAGCCATCCCAACACAGAAACAGCTCAGGGCTGGCTGAGCACAGGTCTTAGCAATGCTTTTCCCTCAGCTTGCCATAGATAACCAAACTTTGACTGTGGCTCAAGCCCGTGCAGGCTGGCTGTGCCCTTACTGCTGTGGTGGTCAGAGGGCTTTCTAACAGCCCCCTCACTGAAACCTTGGTGGCACTTCCCACCCTGGGTCTTTGGACCTCATGAGCTTTGAAGCAGCTTTGTCAGCCAATGTGATGTCTTCCATTGGTCTCCCTTTATTGGTGCAAGGAACTAGCCTCATGGATCCTCTTGGGACAGCTGGATCCAGGCAGTGCCTGGTTTCCAAGGTGGTATCTGCTCCCAATTAACATCCCAGAGCGGGCCTTTTTAAGGCATCCGTGGCCTCAGAAGCCAGTGTCCAGGTGGAAGCCTAGCTGGGCCCTCTTGCCAACTGCTCAGCCTTGCTTTAGCTCCAGTCACTTGTGACAAACCTTGTTTCCTTACAAATTCCAGCATGTGATGTTGGTGCCCTGTTGTTACTTGTGAAAAACCTATTCTGTTGTCTTTGATGTAGTAAAAAATTCATGTAGTTTCTGTGAAAATACTTGATTCACAAGGAAGCCAACTGTGTCTTGTGTTGGGACAGTTCGTAATGTAGTTCCTAGACCACTTTTGCAAATTGTTCTTGCCACCAGATGTGTTCAGACATTGCTGTGAAGTTGTAGGGGAGGGTGGGGGAAGCGGTGAGGGAGAAACTTTTTGGTCCTTTTGTTTACCTTCCCCAAGAGGGAACAGTCTGGCCAACTTGCTCCAGTAACGCAATAAAGACATTGCAATAAAACACCTTTGTGGCCTCATGCACTGATGATGGGCTGGGCTGGGGAACGGGAAGAGGACTGGGGTGTTGAAAAGCCTTTGAATGTTCCAAGCCTTCTTTGTCAGAAGCACCAAAAGACTGATCTTTGGGATGAACTGGGGGCCAGTAGAGGTTTTAATTTCTCCATCCAGCATGAGGAAGCCAACCTTCGCAGGCAAAATGCTAGAGTCCTGTCCATTCAACACAGGGCCGCCCAGAAACAGACTCTGGGAAAGTGAAGTCTGAGCACTGTCTCCTGTGCACTACCTACACACGTGCAGCTTTTAGAAACTTGAGTTTACTGGATCTCCTCACACCTGAAAATCAGGTTATTTCCATATTCTATATTGGGGATAGAGGGAATGGACCCAGTCTGCCCTCCTTTCCCCTGGGTTGTATCTTGTCGAAGTCCCTCTCTGATGGGACTGTACTGAATCAGTGCTGGTCTCTGGTTGCAGCGGCTCCTTCCCTTAGGCCTCACCCAGAGGTGCACTAAGTCACAAAATGAGACTGGGTAAGGCCACATTCTGTTCTAAATGACCGTTTCTATTTCCCTCTCATAATGCGGAGAGGTTGAGAGTTCCCATTTCTGTTGAGAAGTTCCCTTTCCTCTCTCTAGCCCAGTCCTCTGCTCTGGACCTGCTGGCTGGCTGTATTTACCAGGGAGGGGACTTGAGCTTCCACATGTATTTCAGACTTCGTTTTCACTGTACAGAAAATGTGTCAATCTAAGGGAGCTCGAGTGGCTTAGTGGCAGGAAGCTGAAGCTGCACTGCCACCCCAGAGGTGTGCGGTTCAAATCCACCAGATGCTGTGGCTGGAGAAGGCAGGACAAATCTCCTCCAGTACCAGTCAGATCCGATTTGATGGTACACACGTACACACACACTAATAAAAAAAGTGACTCTGAATTTTCTCACCTTCCTACCAAACCCACAGACCTGTCTACATTCACATACCTCTTCAACCTTGTACAAAAGCTGAATCTTTTCACATTTTGAATCCTAATTTTACCTGCCTTCTCAAGAATTTCACATGATCTTTCAATTCTTTCACAGTTGTTTCCTCCTCATTTAACATTTAAACATGGTTGGATGACTCTCATCTCATTTCTCAAATCTTCACTGTCTTAACCCTATATCCTTTTATTTTTCTCTTTAAAAACTAAACCTTTCAAAGAATTACCTAAATTTTTTCCCCTCACATCCTCAACCATTTCAGCACAGGTTCTACCACCACTAAGAACGACTGCCCCTGGTGTCTGAAGTACTTGTCATCCCTGACTGACTGCTCTACCTGCTCCAGGACAACTCATTCGTCTGGATTTCCTCCTACACTGGTTTCTTTCTCATAAAGAGGCTTATCCTCTGGCCCTGCCAGTTTTATCCACTTGGTTCTATTTGTCCTATGCGGACCTCAACAGTTACTGTGAATCCAGTTTACTGAATGCAGAGTCATTCTCTAGGCCCAGCTCTTACATTCATTCAGTGAATGAAAATACAATTCACCTAGCTGTGTACATCGTCATCTGATCCATAATCCTTGTTTTTCCCCCCTACAGAAAACCCATCTC